ATAAGCAGGCTTCAATATACTGAATTCATGATGACTCTCTTTCATGAGGTCAGATCATCGGCACAGGCACATGTCAATAGTCAGTCAATAATGCACTCTCTTCATATACAGCCCTCAACTGTCACTCAGAATGCTTCAGAACGTCAAATATAAACACATTGGAGCAGCACATTCAATACCAATAAAGATGAAGAACACAACAGAGGACAACAGCGGGTTTCCATTTCCATTTATGCATTTGTAAGATATTTTTATCCAAAATGCCAGACATACGCATGTGTCCTCATTGGCATTTGATCAAAGATGCAGCAAAAAGCACCTGTCAAGAAATAACTCTTTTGATGTTGAGCTAACTGTCAGTTTGGCTTGAGTTTTCGGCTTGTATAAATGTCTTGCTAAAATCAGACTGAGAATTCTACTTGCATTTTCATATGACACGAGTTCAACAGGGATAGTTCACCCAAAAATGAAAATTCTGTCATTAATTACTCACCCTCATGTCGTTCCAAACCCCTAAGGCTTTCGTTCATCTTCAGAACACAAATTAAGATACTTTTGATGAAATCTGAGAGCTTTATGACCCTCCATAGAAATCAATGCAACTGAAACGTTCCCAGGCCCAGAAAGGTAGTAAGGACATCGTTAAAATAGTCCATGTGGCATCAGTGGTTCAACCATAATGTTATGAAGCTACAAGAATACTTTTTTGTGCGCAAAGAAAACAAAAATAACTTTATTCAACAATGTCTTCTCTTCCATGTCAGTCTGCGACACGTATTCAACGAGAGTACCATGACACATGCATGTGGTGCTGCTGACGCAGGAGCCGGCGTTCTGACATTCTGAGCCTTGTTTACAAGCAGAGGAATGCACACGCATGCATCGTGGTACTGTTGTGAACGTCGAAGACGGATACAGAAGAGAAGAAATAAAGTTGTTATTTTTGTGTTCCTTGCGCACAAAAAGTATTGTCATAGCTTCATAATATTACGGTTGAACCACTGATGTCACATGGACTATTTTAACAATGTCCTTACTACCTTTCTGGGCCTTGAACGTGGTAGTTCCATTGCTGTCTATGCAGGATCAGAAAGCTCTCGGATTTCATCAAAAAAAAATTTATTTGTGTTCCGAAGATGAACGAAGGTCTTATGGGTTTGGAACGACATGAGGGTGAGTAATTAATTACATAATTTTTATTTTGGGGTGAACTGTCCCTTTAAAGGGATACTCCAGCCCAAAATGAAAATGTTGTCATTAATCACTTACCCCTATGTCGTTCCAAACCCGTAAAAGCTTCGTTCGTCTACAAGCAGAGGAATGCACACGCATGCATCGTGGTACTGTTGTGAACGTCGAAGACGGATACAGAAGAGAAGAAATAAAGTTGTTATTTTTGTGTTCCTTGCGCACAAAAAGTATTGTCATAGCTTCATAATATTACGGTTGAACCACTGATGTCACATGGACTATTTTAACAATGTCCTTACTACCTTTCTGGGCCTTGAACGTGGTAGTTCCATTGCGGTCTATGCAGGATCAGAAAGCTCTCGGATTTCATCAAAAAAAATTTAATTTGTGTTCCGAAGATGAACGAAGGTCTTATGGGTTTGGAACGACATGAGGGTGAGTAATTAATTACATAATTTTTATTTTGGGGTGAACTGTCCCTTTAAAGGGATACTCCAGCCCAAAATGAAAATGTTGTCATTAATCACTTACCCC